AAAGCAAAGAACGTTTTAGAAGAACAAATATTTTGATAATGTGTTTGAAATGTTTTGAAACGAGTATTATGATAATAATGTATGAAATGTGTAAAGCATGGAAAGTAATGACAAGAAATGTAAAGTAATGAAAAGGAATGGAAAGTAATGAAATGAATTGGAAAGTAATAAAATGAAAACTGTCTGGGCCATGATACCTTGTAAGAGGCACTAAAGGAATCTATCGGGGCGACGCCTCCCCTTCGCGAGATAGATGTCGTAATAGAAATGATGTCTTGGTGGATTGATTTGTTCTTTCCACCTTGGTCTAGACTTGGGAGTGGTTCATTTATTGGACGTAGACCCTAAGTATAAAAATGGCAACGGTTTAATACCAGAATTAGCCCTTAATGATAAAGTAAAATGGAATATGGAAATATGTCTTTTGAAAAGAAACGATAAGATATGAAATGAAATGAAATGATATTTATGATGCTTACGAAACGAGTTTCCTTGAAAGGGATTGAAACTGATTTATGGTCTAAACTATGCTTTGCAAAGATGAAATGTTTTTGATGAAAAAGTGATAAATGTTTTGGGTCACAAACCCACGTAGCTCACGAGACATTTTGGTCTTATGTATCTCTTTTTAATGCCATGTATTCCAGGTTGCAATTAAGGAGAAAATTGATAGATGGAAGTTAGAAGATTAAGAGATAGAGAATGGAGTGGAACTTGTTAAGTTCCTTATTTAATGTTATTGATGTAATTCGTATTTGTTGGCTATGGTTGTATGATGCTTAATGGTAACACACAATGTTTTAGTTGTAATTGTTTTTGTGGGACCGGTTTTATGTTGTATGGGAGTTAATACCCAAATGTTTTTATAACCATATCATTTGAACAAGTTTTGAAAAATTTGGGGTGTTACAAAAATAATGGTATTATATGGAATTTTCTTAACTAATTACATTGTACTCTTTTGGTATTATATAAAGTTGTAACATCCCAATGATGAAGTACTTCCAATTTTGACCATATGTTTGAATAATATTGCAGCTTGGCCATTGGGATTGAAAAAGGATTGCAAAATGGCCCATAGTGGCAATATGGTAATTTTGTCCATTGTGTAGTATGTTGAGCGTACGTTGTGTACGATAGGCGTACTAGAGCGCCCTAATACGTCGGGCGTACACCTCGTACGTAGGGCGTACATGAGGATTATGCAAACCCTAATTTTTAGGGTTTGGTTCATATTTAAACCTCATTATAGACTCATATCTCATTTCTTCTTCAGCCACCCTCTTTGAGAAACGACCCCAAGAAAACCCTAAGTGAAAGAGTGTATTTTGGAGCCCTTTTGAGTGTTTAGAAGTGTTCTTGAAGAAGAAGAGAGTAGTGAGAAGAGCTTGGAGCTTGGAAGCATCTTGGATCTGGGATTTCCTTCTTGTTAGCAACCTCCAGGAGGTATAAAGTTTGCATATTGATCACTCCATCTTGTAGATCTATTCATTTCCTCCTTTAAGACACTTTTTGTCCCAAAAATGGTGATTCTTGAACATAGCATGTTCTTGACTCAATAAGTTGTCCTTTTAGAGGTTTTAGAGCCTCTTGAGTCATAAAAATATAATATTGGACACTAGTTTCTTCTCATGGACTTAATGGATTAAGAGGTTAGGATCTTTGGTGATGGGCACTTAATAGCCATGCAAGACCATAAAGTTGGAAACTTTATGGTCAAATACATCATTTTGGACTTGGATTTGGAAAATGGACTTAAGGGCTTAAGGATTAAGCTCTTAATGAGTTGGGTTGGCAGCCAGCTACGTACGATGCGCGTACGTGGTCAACAGGCCCGTGCCTGGTTAATCATCGTGTATGTTGGGCGTACTCAGCTGGGTTGACTCGGTTGACTTTTTGGGAATTTTGACTTTTACCTGATTTTGACCAAGTTTGAACTAGGGGTATTTTGGGAATTTATGAACTTTGTTTGACAAATAGTGTGGAAATATCTATGTATTAGTATGTACAAAAAATTACAAAATTTGGTCCTGATTTTTTTTGTTATAGTAAACTAAGAAGAAATGACAAACGAAAAGACAATATACCCTCATGTGAAGGGCACGTGGTGTGATCTATCAGCCAAAACAAACGGCTATTAAGTCCTACGATCAAATCCACAAGTTGAAAAGTTTCTAGTCTCAATCCGAAAAAACAAAATCACAAAATACAAGGACCGATTTTGAAATTTTGTCTAGTTTTTATCTTATTGTAATACTAAACTTTACAAAAATACAAGTGTTTTCTTTATATTTGTTATTTAATATAATTTTTTAGATTAAATGGATTAATCATTATAAAAATGGTAAAGCCATACCATTTGAACTACCACGAAGCCAGTCTAAAGTCTAAGGTCAAGTCAACTGAGGGATGTATCTCAGGGATAATGAAGATAAGTTTATAATTGAAAAGGTTTATATCTTTGCTATATGATGTAAATTGTAAAGTGTTCTTTGTCCAATGTCCAAATTAGAGATGTTATATGCATCTCCTCAATAACCACTACGGATTGTGTAAATAAATGTTACAACTCTAGAAATTTAACACTGAATCTGATTAGTGAAACAATTAAAAAAATAACAAGTGAATACAACTTGTTCATATTCTTGTGGATATCTGTCAATGGCCAAACCATGTCTTTTTTGTCTCTTACAAAAAGAACGAAAACACAGGTAGCCATATGATCAATTCCTTTAACTTCTAGTTAGTATGTATCTTAAGTCTTAACCAAAGTTAGTGTACACATGGTTCTTCTTTTACTAACAATGTTGGTAAACATGTACAAAATTAACCTCTAATGTGATCTAGCCTCTAATATCCGGGGTCCACCGGTGGTGGTGGTGATGGGTAACGTGAACCAATATATTCTGGAATATCAACGTCGTTGAAGCTTGGTGGGGGAGGAGATGGGACAGGCGGTGGTGGTGGGGGTGGGGACAAGACTGGAGGTGGTGGAGACGGTGGTGGCGGGGATGGTGTTGGTGGAGGGGGAGAAGGCACTGGAGGTGGTGGAGAGAATACAGGTGGCGGTGGGGATTGAACTGGTGGAGGAGGAGGAGATTGAACCGGTGGTGGCGGTGGCGGTGGCGGTGACCGGCGTCGTGGTTTCCTTTTTTTAGACTCCTCATCGCTTGTTCTTGATGGCTTTTTACACCCTAAAGATTTACAATCAATCGGATGATTCACCACCGGCGAACACTTCTGCTCAGTTTTCTGATTCGGTTTCTTCTGCAAACAATTCTCTCGATCATCCAAAACAAGCTCAGCTTTCATCGGTTTTTCACATTTCGGTTCAAGCCCATCAAAGAAGTTCTTAGAAAACGTAAAATTCATCAGTTTCGGCAACGTACAAACACTTTCCACCACCTTTCCGATCAACTCATTACGTCCGATATCAATACTTTCAGCATTCTTCAATCTTTCAAAACCATTCGGAAGTGTTCCTACAAAGTTATTATTACTCAAATCCAACACTTTAATGTTTTCAAGCATCGTTAATTCCTCAGGTACACATCCAGAAAGCTCATTATTCGCGAAGATAACTTCATCCAAACTAGTCATCCGACCAATGCTCTTCGGAATGCAACCTTTGAAATCATTATCCGCAAATACGATCACAGAAGCGTTAGAATTTCCGATGTTTTCCGGGATTGTTGACGTGAATCGATTATCGTTCAAGAAAATGGCGTCGAGATCTTTATCGAAGAGTTCAGGAGGTAACCCGCCTTCGAAATCATTAAATCTAATATCAAGATACTTCAGTTTCGGCATTTCAAGAACAACATTAGGAAACGGACCCACGAATCTGTTGTTGCTAATGTCAAACTCGTGTAAGATCGTAAGCCTGGAAAAGCTCGTCGGAATAGTCCCACAAAACCTGTTCGAATTTATATGGAAGATAGCAAGATCGGTTAACAGCCCAAGAAGACAAATAAGTTGGCCGGCGATGTCGCAATGGTTAAGATCGATTCCGGCGACTGTAACTACATTTGGATCATCGAGAGCTTTTTCACAAAACACACCTTTATAAGAACAAACATCTGCACCTTCCCAGTTACTCAACATGTTTTCCGGGTCGGAATAGATTACCTTCTTCCATTGTTGAAGGACGCAGTAAGCTTTTTTAAGCCTGGGATTAGGGAAATTCAAACGGGCATCAGTCTCAATCTCACAAGTTAGATCATCATCCGGTGGCGGATCTATTTCTTTGGGAGTATCGCTCAGGTGGCGGCGGGTGATTGCAGCGGTGAAGGCGTTGTTTAATGGGATTGATGATGATGGAGATGAGAAGATGAAGATGAAGATGGAGAGGAAAAGAAAGCAACATATGGGTTTCATATTTGGAGGTTTTTGGGTAAACTTTGGTTTTTGGCCAAAGGTTTGGTTATAGGAACTCCATGCAAGGAAGAATGGAGGGTGTTATGGAAGCTATCTTTAGTAACAAATCTTCTCCAACACCATTGAATGTAAAGATTGTGAAAGTTTTGAAACATGATGCGAGTTTATTTCGAGAGACATTGCTTGATTGTCGGCAGATTTTGTCCAAGCAAATAAAAGGACAGTTGGAAAACAAGAGGTTGGTATTCTCTCATATATATGTTTGAGATGAGATTTTGAATAGATTCGTAATTTTATTTCGAAGTTTGTTTTTTACTTGTTTGTTTTTTTGTAACTAAGCCGTTGAAGTTAATACTCTTTTTGTAACTATTTTTGTCCATTAAGTTCACATTATATTACTTTATTGACTCGTCTTTGTGAGGTTCTGTTTCACGCATATTTTGACCATGTTTTAAAACCCCTTTTGCATCATTTTATCTACACGTTTAACACATATTCATGCATTACACAATATCTTGGGATTGCATTCAAAATGGCGTCATAGATAACTACGGGAGGTTATTACTTATTAGCATACAAAAGTAATTTTCCCAATTTAAGCGTACAGTCAATTTAATAAAGGAAGCAATCATATGAGACACGTGGACTCAAAACCCTAGACATTAGTATTTCCCACCCAAATGCCCAGTTGGAGACTTCCTTTCAACAGGGCGGGAAAACATAGTCCTCCAAAAGCGGGGTACTGCGGGAGCCGAGGGACATCAGCCGAAAATGGTGAGCAAGAAGAAGAGAAGACATGGAAATGGCGGAATCGAACCAGAAAAGGAGAACGATGGAGGCGGAGTTGCAGATTACGAGCTGTCTCGAGAGCAAAGAATCAAAGCGAATCTTGAAAGGATGCAGAAACTCGGCATCCTGGAGCTCTCTCGTAATCTCAAACCTCCTCCTAAACCGAAAACCATCCGTCCTCCGAAACGCTTGCCTCCGTCGCCTACGTCTCAGAGACGCTCTTCTAGGTATTTTTCTATCCGAAGATCTCGAATGGAAATATGATCTTAAAATCAAATACTCCATAACTCCATTTTTGAAGTGCGAAAGGGTTTTAAACTTTTGGTACATTTTGATTCTATGCAACTAACAATCTCTACAACATGTATACCGTTTCTGTTTTCCGATTAGAGTTTTATTCTGCAAATAACGATCTCATTCATTGTAAAACTATCAGATCTGTTCAACTCAGTGTTTAGTTTTGATTAGCGTGGTTTCCCTTTAACCAATTCGATCTTATTTCTTCTTAAACTTTCCTAATGTAATAGGATACAGACCTTGCCCACTGTTGATTATTCAGAGATGCGTGTTCCAAATTCCAACGAAAAAGTCATCAAGGACGTCAAAATTGAAATAAAGGAAGGTTCACAACCTGAGGTTTACACTGAAGAACATGAAAAGGCTTTGGGTGATCACAAAGAAACTTGGACGCTTTGTGTGGATGGGTATGACGATGAGGGGAATCGTATGTATGATGCTTATGCAGGAAAGAGCTGCCATCAATGCAGGTTTTGTATCATTCAACTCCTTCATTTTCTTATTTAAATGGTGCCAAACTGCAATTTGTGCTATCACATTGTTATCAGAAAGCAATATGTTCTCTAAAATTTTGTCATGAACTCTAAAAATCTCTACTCTTTGCGACACTAATATGAGGTCATTAGTGAAAATGGTAAATAGTTGATGTATTACAGGCAGAAAACTACAGGTCATCGTACTAAATGCTGCAAGTGTAATATTGTACAAGGGCAGTTTTGTGGTGATTGCTTGTTCATGAGGTTAAGTGACATTTTCTTCATACTTGGTCTATTTTTTTCACTTTTCTTTCTGTTAATGAGTTAGAATTAGGGGTTTTGTGCAGATATGGAGAGAATGTTCTAGAAGCAAAAGAGAACCCAGAGTGGGTTTGTCCTGTGTGTAGAGATATATGCAACTGCAGTCGATGTCGCAGGGTAAAAGGATGGGAACCTACTGGAAATCTTTACAGGAAGGTTAGCCTCCTTCATTAACTTTATTATACCACTTTTCTTCATAGAATTAAAACCCTAAATCTGTATTTTTTAAAGTTTTTTACTCATAGGGTTATTTAGTAGTTTATGAGCTTTAAGCAAATCAATAGGCTTGTTATAAATATAAATGAGTGTTGTGTTGAAAGAAGCATTTAATCTTGGAAGTAAGTTTGAAGAGAAAGAAAGTTATGGAAGTAAAAACACACCAAGATTTGAATAAAAAGGAAATTATGGGTATTTTTGGAATAAAAAGAAAGATACGCATATTTTTTGATTTTTTTAATTTCAGGTGTTGCGCCTTGGTTTCAAGTCAGTGGCTCATTATCTGATTCACACTCGAGGCCCTAATGGAAAGCAAGAGGACATGGAAGATCTCAAAACTTCAGATGAAGAAGATGATGAGGTTGATGATGGGGGAAATGTATCCAGTGTGAAAAACATCAATGATCATGATGGTGGTGATGGTGATTCTGATTATAAGTCTGATGATGATGATGATAATGAAGGTGAAGATGATGATTAGATGCAGAGTTGATTGCTCTTTTTGAAATCAAATGTTTTCTTGAGCTCTTCACTTGATTATGGTGCTGAATTTTGGGGTGTTAAAGGATCTAAAGTTTTACAGGTGCCATAAACATGCCACAAGTGCAAAATGGTTAAAGTGCTATTGAGCTTAAATGTATCAATATTTTATATATATAATCAGTTTTGTTGTAGAAGGCTAAAAGCTTGTTATCTGTTTCTCGAGACACCATTTGCAAACATGATTACCACGACCTTAACTTTATGTTTAGAAATACATTTACTAGACCAAAAAAGTACATTTTGGGTTTAGTTTTTCAGATGTACAAAAAAACATTCCAAATTTTCAAACATATATTTGGAATCTGAAGAACAAGTTTAATATTTTGAAAAACTTTGTTTTTTTAATAAAATGTAGCAAACAATTCTAAGAAAGCTAGCACAGATGAAGTAGATTACACACCAAAGGCACAAAAATATGATTTAGTTCAAAAAACGGTGAAACAAACCATTTTGAAATTAACTGAAAAAAATATACTTTTGAAAAATGTTTGGTCCAAATAACCTTTGATATAAATGCAGTTTGTGTAGGCTGTTTGTGTGGTTTAAATGCAGTTTTCAACTTTTATAACTTTTGAAAAACCAAATAACCTTTGATATAAAACTAGAAATACTGTGAAATAAAAAAACCAAAACCAAGTTGCTATGTGTGTACATATGGTAGAATGATTGAATGGTTTGTATACAGTTTTTTAGCATCTTGTATACAAACCATTCATTCATTCTAACATACTTTTAGCATCTCGACATTATTTGATCATATAAAGTGGTGAACTTGTCATCTAAAATCTCTAAATGTTAATGACCTGTTCATATAATCAGTCTCATATTGTATGCAATTATTCTCTCATACACAAAGAAATTTAATTAAGCAACTATGAACACCTGACAATCCAATTGATGGTAATCATATTATTGGATTGCGTTAATGCATGTCTATAGAATCTATTGGCTTCAAAATATCAACATTCTTTAATTAGAAAGATACAACAAACAGAAAATCATATCCGGGTCTGATTGATGTACCCAGCTTCATCAAAACTTGTTGCCATCAGCAGTTGAGTTGTCTATAACTAGCAAAGCTTACAGCTAACTCGATAAAAATCATAAGAATTACAAACGCCCAAATTCAAACAAAACACCAATTAATAATGATTGTAACCCAAGCTTAACATACAAACAATACTCGATCAAAATTCAAATTGATATGATATGATAGAGGAAAACAAAATTGATGACCTGAATTTTCTTCAAGCGACAGCTACAGGTTGTTGCTTCGCCGGTTCGATATTCGTTTTAGATTTCTGATTGGTGAAGTCTTCCATGTTGTATATGACGGTGATGTAAAGAGAGCAACTAGGGCACCGAGCGATTTCTTCACCGATCTTCAAGTCCTCTTTTGTGATCTGAAACAAGTCTCCACAAGGACACGGATACGTGAATGCCTTAAGCTCCTCGTTCCATTCCATGTCTTCGATCTCCACGTCGTCGTAGGACATCGTCTTCAATCAACTCAACTCCTAATCTTTAATTTCACTGGATATTGAAATCGTTTGTTGTTAGGGTTTTGGATGCCACGGAACAAACCGGGACTTTTTCTTTTTTTATAGAGACCCGAAAAGTTTATTTTTACAAATGGAGAACGAAACTTTATGTTTTTCTGTTTTACGTCCTGGGTACAACAAACTTTTGTATTTTACTATTTTATCTAGTATATTGTTTTAAAAGGTTTTTAATGTTTTCATTTTGTAGTCTAGGAGCAATTCCAACCATAAATCACTAAATTGGTGATTTGTTAACACTAAAATAGTGTTTGCATTCCAACCAATCACTAAAGTTGTTATTTTTAGAGGCCAAGTAGTTTGGCCTTCATATTTGGTGTGTAAAGTTACCCCAAACACTAAAATGGTGTTTTTTAAAGGTTGATTGGAATGAAAACACCATTTTATTGGCCTTTATAATTGTGTTTTAGAGGTTGGTTGGAGTTGGTCTAAGGGCACAGATTCAAATTCACCTGTTAAAAATGGACCAAAATTTGTGCTATCAGGTAATTGATGATGTGACTTTTCTTTAAACCAACCAATATTTTAAATGTATCTTTTTAAAACATATTTTATACCGAAGAGTGAAGACCATCCTCCGTATTTTATTGTCACTTTACCTTTCTTCTCCCCATTTCCAAAAAAAAGTCACCGGCTCAACCATCATCATCGTTCACCACCACCATGTCCACCAACTTCATGTGTTCTTGAAATTTACTTGTTTCTTTGTAACATAAAAATTTATCCTTTCATTATGTTTTTTTTTTCTGGTCTTCGGGGGAGCGATAACCGCTTGATATTTGATTTGCAGCCATCAATTGATTTACAACCTCCAAATTATGTCGTTCGGTTGCAGTTGCCCCAACCGGATCTTTTGGTCTAGTTCCCTTTTGAGCATGGTCCATGCTATGGTGTCGTGTCCGGTGGTGCCATGGAACTTGCAATACTTGTCGCATAGAGAGAATTTTTCATAGCGTCAACTAGCTTTCTTAGGATTTGCTAGTGAGTCTATGTATGTTTGTTCGCATTGCTTTATTTGAAGGATGGTATCATTGGCTTTGTGGTTTATGTAACTTGGGATTTTATTTGTATGGGCAGTGCTGTAAACGAACCAAACGAACACGAATGGGGCTTGTTCATGTTCGTTCGTTTAAGTTAACCGAACTAATGAACGAACACGAACGGTTAAACGAACGAGTTTTCTTGTTCATGTTCATTCGTTTAACAAATTACATTGTTCATATTCGTTCGTTTATGTTCGTGAACATGCTAAACGAACGTAAACAAACGAACATAAACAAACGAAGATAAACAAACATATATGAACATAAATGAATATATAATATAGTAATGTGATCAAACACAATTAAACATATATGAAGATAAAAGGAACTTATATGAACGAACATGAACAAACGTAAACGAGGAACATAAACGAACGTTCACGAACATAATTGAACGAACGAGACCATTGTTCATGTTCGTTCGTTTAACTAAACGAACGAGAATTTGTGTTCATGTTCGTTCGTTTATTAAATAAACGAACTTCCCGCCGAACGGTTCACGAACAGTTCGTTGAACGTTCAGTTCGTTTACAGCCCTATGTATGGGTGTTGGTATTGTCCCCCTTGATTGTTGTGTGTGTATGTTGGTTTATGTTTCCTTGGATGGAAATGTGAATTTACTCTCTTATGTCTATCTTAACTTTTTTTCCGTTTTTTCTTCTTCTTGTTTCAAGAATTTGTACGCTTTGTCCGTTAGATCCTTTCTCGGAATGGTTTTTCAACTAGCTTTTCGAGACCAAAGGCCATAAGTAAAGGTTGCGATAATCATGCTATTCGTTCTTTCTAGTGCGTTTTGTTGAACTTGTTAACATATTCCTTAAGTGTTTCATCTTCCATTTTCGTACACCCTAAGATTGGCTTGCGCAGTTGAGGTGTATTTTCTTTGTTTTTTAAGCTAGTTAAAATCCCTTATATTTTCCCTTGTTAGCCTTTTGAAGTTTGAACCATAGCCTAGTTGGTCCGAATAGTGTTGTTGGGAAGAAGATGCACCATTATTTTTCGTCCAAGTATTATACTTCCATTGTCCATTTATAGTTTTTAATGTGGTCGCCCGGATCGGAGTTGTTTGTGAGGCGATTGTTGTTTAAAGGAAAACGGGCATCATGTGCATCAGATTGAAAGGTGTGTATCTTAGAGGTGTGCTTGTATTGGTATTGTCTGCCATGGTTGTGTTCTTTTTGTTCATTAAGGATTAAGGATTATGAATGGTGCCAATGTTGCTACGTTAGTCTTCGTTAGGGGGTTTGCATGGCCTCTCCTAGCTGAGAATGATCGTAGAACCTTAGATGGTCGACAAAGAAGGTCATGAGCATTATCTTGATACTCCTGCTAATACACTCCGACACCTAAGTTAAGATAAGGGGATCATGTATTACGAGATTAAGTTTAGAGTGTTATGTGTATTCATTCTGCTATTTAGACTCCCTTTGTCACCAAAGAGCCTTTGGTCTAGTGGTATCAAAGTGTTCCTCCTCCAAGGGGTTGAGAGTTCAAGTTCCATTGTGGACAAAATAAATAGTTTAAGAGTAGGATTTATAGGGTGTATGTGTTAGTTGTTCCAAAAAGAAAAAAAAGTTATACAGGAGGTGCATGGAAGATGTCATGAGGATCGTGTTATTTGTTTATATCCAATGTAATGGGAGCTAGGGATTGCCTTTGTTCATTGTAGTCATGAGAGATCCTGTGGAATTCTATCCAGATTCGGATATCCGAAAGGTGAGGCCCCCATCAATATACTAGGTTAAAGAGAAAACAAAGGAGTTGAATAAAAAGTCAACAAGATTTAAAGCATTAAAACTTTTTATAGATCTAGAATCTTTAACTGATTCCAAAGATTAAAGTTACAAGTAATTCCCAAGGCAAAACTGGAATTACATCACAAGAAGAACCCACTTCTAACACTACTAAAACTGATAACTCTCAAGGAATTCATGCATATGAATTTCAACTACAAAACTTCACAGAGCTAATACACAACCCCGACAGAAATACCTACATTTTGATGATGAACTAGATAGTGACTATTTATATGTAAACACACCATACTTATAATTTGCAAAAATTTAATAGATAGGATTTGGAAATGGAATTACTATTTTTGAGAAGTTTCTCTTTTTTATCATTCAGAGTCGGAATCATGAATTCCAGAGTATCTGACTGTCCTCCGTCTACTTTCGTCATATTCAGCTTCTTCATCCTCATCTTTTTTCTTCTCCTCAATTATACCTACACCACACATAACACATAACCATCATCATCAATATCAAAACACCAACCTACTTTCATTTATTTATTTTTTTGAATTATTATTATATAGCATCCTTCTTTCATTTTCTTCATTTATTTGTGTACTATAGCATTCCACTTTCGATATTGTTTTGTATTAGAACCATTTGCAATAATTGGGAAGATTTCTCAAAATGAAAGTAGGGTGCTATATTTAAGTTAACAAATCAATGGGTGCAATGCTATTTCTTGTATTTAACCCTTTTTATATTTTTCTAAAAGTATAGCAACTTTTAGAAAAGAAAGAAAAAATGTTACCTTTCTTGATCAATAAAGCTTCTAACTTTCTTGTGCTGAAATCGTCTTTTCCTCCAAGATCTTGAAACCCAACGATCCTATCTCCTGCAATTCCTTTTCTGAGAAAAAAAAGTTCAGTTGAATTTTTAATCCCACAAAATATAATATAGAAAAGGATAAGCATATCAGCTAGCAACAAAACTGTGATGAAGATGTATCATGTATCTGACCTGAACAATATGACACATGGCAATGTCTTGATTCCTAGTTTTGTCACAAAGAACGGGGCATTCTGTATGTGATATTTAAAAATGTTAAAAATATATATATAACATTGATGTTAATAATGATAATACAAGAGTGAGGAAAAAGACCTCTGCATCTAGCTTAACAAATTTGGCATCAAGATGACTTGTTGCAAGAGACTTCAAATGCTTGTCCATTATCCTATAATAACAGATATATATATATATATATATATATATATATATATATATATATCAACATGTCAATATCAAGAAAGTAGCCATAAAGTTGGAAGTTTTAATTTTTTTAAGGCCAAATTCCATAAAAACCACAACCATTTGATTTTTTATTTTTGTTTAACCACTGAAAGAAATATTTAACCACATAAGTCAATGACATGTGGATGTCATGATGCATTTATATATGTTTGTGAATATACAAGTCTAAAACAGAACCAATACAAGAACAAGATCTTTTGTTGCTTCATAAATTTGATATATAAAAGGGTTAAATGCAAGAAATAGCAATGTTATTCCATTAATTTGTTTATTATAGCATCCTACTTTTGTTTCTTTCTATTACAACATTGTACTTTAAAAAATATATGTTTGTGCTTCAGTTTAGGTTCTGTGAATTGATACTGTAATTGTAAGTTTTTGTTGAACTATTGATAAATTGGTGTTTGTATTTGTTCAACTGTTAGAAGTGATTGATATGGTGAAAATTGTTTGTTGGAATCTTATAAGGGCAAAATGGTCATTTACTCAATAAAAAAATGTTTTTTGCGTATACAACACAACATACAGACATCATTACCCATTCAACCACTTTATCCATACAGGACTTGATGGAAACAAAAATGCCCTTAGTCTGGTAATCTATATATGGATGCTTCTTTTTTACTTAGGGGCCGTTTGATAGTTGCTGACTGAGAAAGTGCTGATTGGGAAAGGTCTGTCTGAGTAATAAATTCTGACTGAGTAAGAAACCATGCTGTTTGATTGTACATCTGACTGAATGTGCTGACTGATGCAAAATGACCATTTTATCCTCGTGCTCTTTATAATAATAATAATAATAATAATAATAATAATAATATTAATAATAATAATAATAATAATAATAATAATATTAATAATAATGTATACAAAAACTTCCAGCATAATAGATATTAAATATACTATTTTAAAGGTTAAAACACAAAAAACCCTCTAGCTTGGTGGTAAACGCTATTGTTTGTATAGGGGAGACCCGAGTTCAAATACTGTAACCTCCCATTTCACTTGTTGAGATTTGAATTTTTATCCAAGGGCAATGGTATTATTGGAAACTCTTGCTTTCTTTCTCGGTCAGCCTCCTCCCAACTCCTTTCTCGGTCAAACATTTCTTACCGAGTCAGATGGCCAAAGTTGGATTATCAAACAGATTTTGCTGACCGAGTCAGCCAAAAACGTCTGACTTGACTCGGTCAGACGCGTATCAAACGGGGCCTTAATGCAGAAAGAGCTACTTGATGCCAAATTACCAAAAGTACAGGAAATAAGGTTTTGCCCATTAAATCCTAACTTTTTACAAACTTCCCCTCATTTATTTGACTCAAATAGAAAGAGTCTTTAAAAGGGTATACAAATTTGAAAAATAAATAAATAAAAAATAAAAAACTTACTTGCAGCGATAGAACTCCCGATGGTAGAAATGGCAAATGACCTTTTCACTGGAAGTGACCTCACCCAAAAAAGTCTCCTTCAGTTATCTCCCTATACTCTCCATGCCCTTTTTTCGTTAATGATTGTCTCTTTTCAGCTTCTCTCTTTTCCAACAAAAAAAGCATATGAAAGGTTAGAGGCTTAAAGAAACTTTTGTGTTTGCATTATAATAATCAAATTACAACCTTAAGAGCTGCAATCCTATCTGCATGCAGCTTTTCCAGCTCAGGATCCTGATATACATACAGTTCCATAAAAGTTGAATAAAAATGAAGAATTTGATTAAGAAACATATATTATACAATAAACATGCATTTGCAACTTACATCCATCAAATCATCTAGATCAACCTCCTCATTAACAGACGATGATGTTTGTGCCTTTTCATAAGCTGCAACTTCCTATAAGAATTAAAATATATAATTGAGTTCTATTGATCAATGTGAAGGAGCAAAATATTCACTAAAATCACTCGTCCTTCATCAGTTGTCACTATCAAAAAGGGTACAAGGCATTTTTCTATTTTTACACTTTCATTCATCAATGTGAATGAGCAAAATACTCACTGCTTCTAAAATTCAATACAAACCTTGAATATATTAAGCACTCCCTTTACATAAAGAGTCCAAACATAAATATGACATTTTAAGTATTAGTTTTACTAGTTTTTAACTTCAAAATAATGATCTTTTGGGTTAAACATAAAATTTATTACTACATTAAACTACTGGAAAAAAGAAACTGCTGCAATTGGAATCTGATAAGCATATCTGAATCTCAGTTTACAAACCCTACAATGAATCTAGTGTTTGAAGCAAAAAAAAAGTAAAATTAACATCATAAGCGAATTTGAACTTCATGAATCATGACATACACACTTGATAGTATAGATATAGAAATACCTTCTGATAATCACGAGCAGCTGCAGCCATTACATTTCCAAATGCTAGAGTTTGCAGAGTCGATTTAACTGAATCAGGATCCATGTCTATAGACGCTAATTACTTCTTTTATCTCTGTAGAAAACCTACATAGTCCAAAGAGTAAAACATCCAAAACATCATGAATTTGGAACATAAATCAAAGGTTACATGGGTACAAGGATCTGAAAATTTGTTGAAACTACCATATGCATATCAATTTTTGATAAAAAGTGTCTATTAGTTTATTGGTAATAAAAATGAGTTTTTAAAAAAGTGTTTGGATTAGCTTATATATGTAAATTGATCAAAAAGGTCATGCTTACATATTTAGTATTTATGGCATTGCAAACAATTGACAGATCAGATAATTCACGGATTAGACACAAAAGTTTTAAGGGCTTAACACATTCCTTTGTGACATTCCAATTTGAGTGCCAGGTATGAGACACCAAAGTAATCTTTGGCATTGCAAAAATTTGGCAGAAAAAGAATAAGCCATTCACAAAAATTTGCCATTGCAAATTTCAGGTGGCAGATTCGTCTAGCATATCGGAGGTTTGAGACACAAAATATTAACCAAAATCTTTGCCATTGCAAACATTTGGCAGAAATTCGTGTGAGCAGATGGCAATAGATAGTGAAGAAGATAATCAGAAAAGGAAATCTTTGGCATTGCAAACCATCAGAATAACCAGAAAATTAAAATAATCAGTATAGACATGGAGATATGGAGATTTATAGAAATAGACAGAGAAGATGATAGCCAGAAAAAAGAAATTCATTACCTGATCTGAGAGTTGGCGGCGGTGGAGATCAGAGATCGGAGATCGGAGAGCTGAGTCGAGAAGGGGTGGCGCCGGAGATCGGCGAGCTGGCGGCGGTGGCTAGAGAGAAGAAGATGGGAGACGGAGAAGAAACTGTGATGGAGGCGTCTTCTGTGAATCGTATCAAAAAACGAGAAAGAGAATTTAAAAGTTATGAGCCATAAGATGCTTCAAAAAGTGGTATTACGAATTTAAAAAATATGTATTCAGAGTTATAAAAAGTTATTGTTTTATTACCACAAAAGCCACAAGTTTTACATTTGGATTTTAAATTAGCTCCAAGTGGATTTTTTGTTTTTAATTAGCCTAAATATTTGAGATGACGTTTCAAAATATTATCAACAGCCGGTTAACAACAAGTTAAGCTCCTTAGCCGGTCACCACTCCCCTATACTACTTGATCTTTTCCAAAATGCGTTCGTACAATCCAAACATCACCTTTTAGAAGAAACGTATGCATCAAAAGGGTTTCCATGTAGTTGATCTCGGGAATAAGAAGGGTTTTGAAAAGGGTTTCTAACACCATTGTTGTATGCAAAAAGCTTCTCGTTTGAAGTTGAAATACACTGAACTAGAAAGGTATGTGGCTGCGAAAGAGAAATTAATGTGTATGTGTGTTCTTATCTTTCATAATCGAGTTCCATACTGCCATTAACAATTTTAATTTTCCATCTTGAACGGATGGCTTCATCATCTGGAACTAAAGAAGTCAAGGGGCTTGAGAAGGTTTATGTAAGGGGCGAGAACTCTAATGATGATCTTATAGATTTCTCATTCTTGGATTTTGCACCAGAGACCTTTAAACCAACCTCAAAATTGTTCGATGAGCCATTCCTTAACATATTATGTGATGAAAATGTGCTAAAGAGGACTCTTGATGGAATGGGAGATTATGATAATGAAGATGGTGTTAAGGAGCCAAATCATGATCATATTGATGATCAAAATGATTACGAAGTGGGTGTAAAGTATAAGGTTCATGATCCAAACATCCATTGGAAACAAATGAAGCCTATAGAAGGACAGTGTTACGAGTCTTGTGCTCAACTCAGGTTTGCATTAACTAAATATGCAGTGGCTAATGGATATGAGTTATGGTTTATAAAGAGTGGTAGATATAGAGTCATTGTTAGGTGTGGAAAAAATATATAAAAAAGAGTCATGTCCTTTTAAAGTTTATGTTGCTTGGAAGTATAATGAACGAACATTTCAGACTAAATCCATATGTGACATACATCTATGTGTTAGGAATTATAATTTTGGATGTTTGGTTAGTTACAACTGGTTAGCCAAACATTACTTGAAGGATATCATTAGTAAGCCAAATATGACCTTGACTGAGATGAAAGAAGATGTATTTAGGATGTTTTCAGTAGAAGTGTCTAAGGGGCAATGTCACAGGGCTAGGATAAATGCAAGAGAGATGATTAAAGATAACTTAGAAGAACATTATGCAAAGGTATGGGACTGTGTTGCAGAAATCCTCATGTATAACCCATGAAGCACTTGCAGGGTGGGAGTAGAAGGTAATCCAAGTGGCATGAACTATTTCAAAAGGTTTTATGTGTGCTTGAAGGCTTTTAAGGATGGTTGGAGTAGGGGTTGTAGGCGTGTGATAGGTTTGGATGGTTGTTTCCTAAAATGGCAGATCAAGGGAGATCGCTTTTGACTGCTATTGGAAGAGATGCAAACAATCAGGTATATCCAATAGCATGGGCAGTGATTGATGAAGAGAGCAGAGATAATTAAGTGATTATTAAGGGAGAACGCCAAGAACAACCACCACGACCAATTGTAGAGGCGATGTTGGAACATTTTAGAAAAGAACATCAGACGAGCATCTAAGGTAAATTCTTAAAAATGATGGATATAGTGGAGAAGAATAGTGGGGTAATGGTGGTGAGAAGACATCGAATGGTTGTTAAGATGACATCGATGTGGAGGGATACACGAGGAGAAGAGGCAATTTTTAGATAAATAAGGGTTTAGATGGAGGTTGACGTCTTCTTGGATGTAACATCCCAAAATACTAATAGAAATTTTCATTTTTCCAACCATCAAATCCACACAATGTATGTTCAAAATCAACCATAGCAAAATATAACACAGTTATCAGAGTAGAACAATATTCATCAATGCGGAAAATCATAAGGGGTGATGTGCAGTGAAGTCAGGTCATTCCATTTTGAATTGGAAGTACCTGAAAATGTTAAACCACAAAAACCGTAAGCACAGAGTTTAGTGAGTTCCCCAATATACCACATACCATACATATTGGGCTCCGCCCATAGGTTGGGCACCTCCCTCATATCGAGCCCCACCCAACACACAAACGGACCCAACCCAACATAAAAAAAGCCCAACCCAACATATAAATAAGCCCAACCCAGCATACAAATGGGCCTAACCCATCATGCAAACATGCCCAACCCAACATACAAACATGTAACACCGTAAATTTTCAAATAATTTTTTCATTTAAAATCGCATAATTCTCATAACACATATCACAAAAATCTCATGTATTTAGTTTATAAAAACACAACTCCATAATTGATTGATTAATAATCCAGGATCCTCAAAACATAACTCTTTCTCTGGTGTGTACAATCTAGTTGATGCCCTCCCGCGATCCTGAGAAAAACCTGAAACACATAACACGGTAAGCACGAAGCTTAATGAGTTCCCCAAAATACCACATTCAATACATTAGCCACTCGAGGCTATAACTTTGTAAGACCCTCCGGTCAATGTGTCTCAGTGGGACCCTCCAGTCCCACTACTCTGATGGACCCTCCGGTCCTAACTCTGTGGACCCTCCGGTCCTAACTCTGTAAGCTCTGAGTAATACACAGCATAAATCACAAAGAAATAATGCAGGATATCACAATACACAGATAAGCACATAAGACATCTCAGTCACACACAAATACCACTCATGGTAAAGTATAGTGAGAAGACTCACCTCGAGGCACGCAAGAAATTATCCCTATACTCGAATCTCGAACTAGCCACCGCCTAACACATAGGGTAAATATTCTCTAATTAATACTCGATTCTCAACTCTAAGTAAACCAAGGGTTACTCTTTCTCTGTCTAACTCCGGAAGTGGGTATGTAACATCCCATTTTAAAGAGAGTAATTAAATAATAATTCAGGAACCCCGGGAAGTAATTATTATTATTATTTTATAGTATTAGAGCTCAGAAATCAAATAATAAATATTGGGATGTTAGTTTCGGGGATTAAAGAATAATATTGGATTTAATTTAAAAGGAAATGAGGTGGAAGGGCTGATTATGTCACAATTAAGATATTGGGGGATGTTTGGTAGTTTATGGGACTTAATTTGTGAGGGATTTCCATGGATTGGGTTGAAAAGGTAAATTTTGGATTAATCTTGTAAAGAAATATGGGGAGGAGGGGCCATTTTGGTTGTTATTGATGGGTTTTAGGTACAACAAATAAACTAGAAAACAATTCCTAAGTTCACATGCAACCTACTTTGGATCTATGTTTTAACTATTGAACATACAACTTTGAATTGCAAAACAAGAACCCTAGAGGAGAGAGGCTATTTTCGAAAATAGTAAACTAGGGTTTAGGAGTTACATACCTTTCAATTGTTATAGCAAACAATTGATAATCCTCTTGATCTTGATCTTGATCTTCTTGGAAGCTTAGCACCACAAATGTAATGCCTCTAATGGAATCACACCCAAGAACTAGCAAGAAGGAAACTTGGAGGAGAGAGGATGGAGAGAGTATGCAATTTCGGCCTTAGGGTTTCTTCCAAAGAAATCAGTGACCAAAAACATGAACCAGGAGGCTCCTTATATAGCTGAGGGATCTAGGGTTTAAGGGAAACCCTAGTTATCCTTTGCTTAGGGCCTAAGCAAACCCAAGGGCCTTATCCAAGCCCCTATGGACGAAATTATTAGGGTTTCCCCTAAAGATTTCGTCCACCCTCTTCCAAGGGGGTTCTAGAGCCTTCCACTAAACTATTAGATAATTGCAAACTAGTCCCTGCACCTTATAATTAATTCTTTTAACCCCAAAATCAATTCTGATTAATTTATGGCTAACAATTAATTAAACATAATGATTTCTAATTAATATATTAATCCATTAACATATTAATAAATCATATATATATATATATATATTAATTTATTAATCTTATAAATTAATATCTCTCCTTTTATAATTTCCTTGTCCAGTTGCTAGGTTGAGGGCAACCCAAAAGGACTGTGCTGCTATCAATTCAAGTACATACCAATTATAGTTATGGGCTTAGACACCTAATCCAACAGTCTCCCACTTGGATAAGTCTGTAACTATAATTGCTAGTATGCCTTCTAAATTTGACCAGCAAATTGTAGCTTCCAAAAAGCTGCTGCCGAACTCTGACCCAGTCAGTTACGTGTCCTAAGATAAGTGATCATATAACCCTTCGTTCTGCTTGATATCCCCAGACAAAAGACATGGAATGTAATCAATCTCTTTGTCCAGAATCTATGTTTCCCGATTCCTGATTTGTGATGATGAAGGACTTCTAATCGAACACATCAATTTAGTCCTGGCTGGGCCCAGCACATAAGTCAACACCAAATCATCGAGGGGCCCACAGATATCGCTTTTCCTGTTAGGGCAAAAGGAACGAATAAACGTTGACTCATATGCTTGTATCTTTTACTCATCAAATTATACATGACAATACGTTTTATAACACCAAGTTACTGATGCGTTTTCGTATCACCAATGCACAACCGACTTGTAAATTACAACTCATATATCTTCGTTTCAAGATTATAAGATATTATCGTCTCAGTATTACTCGTGATGAATTCCATGAAGTAATACTCTGAGCGAGGGTTTATCCAATACTCAAATCTCAATTTCTGAGTACTCATGAACATTGCAGCAATTCTATTGCCATGTCTATCCTTAGACAATCTGCAATCCGATTCATGACAGTCTTAATTCACTACTTACTTCCAAGAGTACGAGCGACTGTGGAGTTTGAATAATCTCATTATTCAGGAAGTAAAACATGCAAAAATGAAACACAATAATAAACAATTGACAAAAGGTAGTAGCCAAACTTATAAATAATACTTTATTATTTAATCACCAAAAGTCAATTACATTTACTTTGTTACAAGTTTCAAAAACTAATCTAACTACTAAAACTAATATCATCTTTCAGTCCTATGCTCCGAGCATGCTGAATATGCTTAGCCCTACTCAGACCCTTTGTGAGAGGATCTGCTGGGTTATCTTCAGATGACACCCTCTTTACTATAAGATGGCCTTCTTCTACTCTATGTATGATGAAATGGTACTTTCTGTCGATATGTCTGGTCTTACCATGATCTTTTGGTTCCTTTGTCAAGGCAACCGCTCCTTCATTATCGCAGAACAGTTCCATAGGCTCCTGGATGGTTGGAACAACTCCGAGATCCCCGATGAAGTTCCTCAACCAAGCTGCTTCTTTCGACGCTTTACTTGCTGCTATGTACTCTGATTCACAAGTAGAATCAGCCACTGTATTTTGCTTGGAACTCTTCCAAGTAACTGCTCCTCCATTCAGTAAAAACACCCAGCCGGACTGAGAACGGAAGTTATCTCTATCCGTCTGAAAGCTGGCATCACTGTAACCATCTACTCTCAAAGTATCACTGCCACCAAGCACAAGGACCCAGTCCTTTGTCCTTCGCAAATACTTGAGTATATTCTTAACTGCTACCAATGAGCTCTACCTGGGTTTCCCTGATAGCGACTGACCATGCTCAAAGCAAATGCCACATCAGGGCGAGTACATGTCATAGCGTACATGATCGATCCGACAGCGGAAGCATAAGGTACACGACTCATGTCATCTATTTCAACATCTGTACTCGGGCATTGAGTCTTACTCAATTTGGTATTGCTCTGGATAGGTAGCTCTCCCTTCTTGGAGTTTTCCATACTAAACCTCTTTAGTACCTTATCCAAGTATGTGCTCTGACTAAGTCCAATTAGTCTCTTTTTTCTATCTCTCAATATTCTAATCCCAAGAATATAGGCAGCTTCTCCAAGGTCTTTCATGGCAAAACACTTTCCAAGCCAAGACTTAACTTCTTTCAAGGTTGGAACATCGTTACCAATGAGTAATATGTCATCGACATATAACACCAGAAAAGTTACTATACTCCTACTAGCCTTGATATACACACAAAACTCATCTTCACTTCTAGAGAAACCAAACTCTTTGACTTTCTCATGGAAGCAAAGATTCCAACTGCGAGATGCTTGTTTCAATCCATAAATGGATTTCTCAAGCTTGCACACTCTATTGGGGAACTTTGCATCAACAAAACCCTCTGGCTGACTCATGTAAACATCTTCAGCCAACTTCCCATTAAGGAAAGCAGTTTTGACATCCATCTGCCAGATTTCATAATCATGGAAGGCAGCTATGGCGAGCAATATCCTAATAGATTTAATCTTAGCTACTGG